ACATAAAAGAAAGTCATTTTGGATTTGTCCCCTCCTTCATGCCCATGCCTATTTGGCCTGTGACTCTGATCCACCTACCAGCACATTCTCTCTCTCTCTCTCTCTCTCCCTCTCTCTCTCTCACACACACACACACACACACACACACACACACACACACACACACACACACACACACGTGCGTGCGCGCAGGCACACATACACACAGGGCTGAACTATGTCCAGCCTTAATGCACACATGATAAATTGTGGGGTGGGGACCAGTGTGGAGACATTGGGTGGGGGACATGCCCCCCGATGGTGAGCTGAGGGGCAGGCATAGCAGACACAGGGTGGGGCACTTTGTGGGGAATAATGAGGTGAGAACCCGTAGGGGCTGCCGGGATGGAAGCAACAGAGAGGGTGATGAGCTGCAGTAGAGGGTGAGCCAGAGGCAGAGAAGAGGCTGCCTTTGAAAGGAATGAGCTGCTCTTCCAGAATCCCAGGTGACTGTGGGCCCAGGCACGGGGTATACCAGCCTTCCCTGTCCTGAGAGGTGGGCCCTCCCAGGCCTCCAAAGTCACCCCTAGAAGGAAGCCAAGGGCCAGGTGTGTTCCAGGCATAGTTCTTCTTCTTTTCTGCTATTAAGAGGGTGGGGCAGGTGGAAGTTGGGCTGTTGGTCCCCATTTTCCTCCTCTCCCTCAAAAGGCTGCACTCACCCCTTCTCTCCAAATCTGACTATCCCTGATGAGATCCACTGTCCCACACTGAGCTTTCCTGCCCACTCCCAAAGTGTGGGGGTGGGAGGACCAAAAACAATCTGTCTTGCTCCAGATTCTATATTGGACAAGCTCAGGGTGGGAAGTGTCAAAGAGGTGACTGTGACTTCTTGCCCATCTCTTATTTGCTGGAGCCTGGCCTTATGACCTCTTGCCCTTTAACAGGATGTAAAGTCAGTGTGGGCGGGAGGGTGGATATTTTGACCTTGGGAGGCCTCCCTCTGTCTTTATCCATCCTCTGCCTGTCCTTGGTGCCCTTTGGAGGTTTATAGTCATATAAATTGCAGAGTCCCATGCCAGGCATGGAGCCTGAGACTATAAATAGGCACGAGGTAAACAAGGTGGCAGATGCAGGGGCTTGGGACAAGACAGAAAATATGCCCCTCTCTGCCTGGGCAGGGGCCAAGGCACATCCGTGGAAAGGGATATCTTCCCTCCCTTCTCCTCACCTCTCCTTCCCTGCCTGCTGCCTGCTGGCGGCCTGTGTTCCGGGCTTCAAGCCTTTTCCCTCTAGGGATTATCCTCCAGTGTGGCTTTCTGCTCCAAGTTTCCCTGGTCACCTGCCCTGTTTCATCTTGCTCTGAGTCAAGATGGGGGAGGGGCTGTCTCCATTACACCGAGTGTCCCTCGCTGCCTCCCTGCAGCTGCTTCACACTGGCTCCTAGCAAGTCTCCTGGCGTCGCCTCTGCCAACCGCCAGTCTCCACCACGAGGGGCGCTGTGATCCCTTCTCAATCCGTGTAGCCAAGGTGATGCTAGTATTTCTCAGCTAGGAAACTTTACTAAGAAACTCTGGAGAAACCAAGCAAAGACCCTTACTTTCTACTCATTCCATTCAAAAGCACAGAACGTGAGAGTGCACAGATTTCTACCGTCTTCCTGTTGTGTAGATTGATTGATAGCTGCCTGGCCACTTGGAGTTTCTAGGCCCATCTCTGTGCTGTGAGAACTAGATTCTGAGCAGAGACTCTGAGGTTGAGACAGACCTAGGTAGCACTGCTTTCTAGATCTATCCCTGCCTTTCCTCTGCCCTAGGGCTGGGCTGCTTTCTTGCTCTGTACTTGTCCTGGCCGTGGCAGGTTCCCAACCACCAAGTGTCCTCTGAGAAATTTCAGGTCCCATTGGCCCCTCAATTACCTCTCTCATCCCTCTTGGAACAGGCTGGATCTTCAACCCTGAAATTCCTTCTTTTATCCCAAGTTGGGCTCTCCAAACATATTCACTCACAAGTTTAGATTCTTAGAAACTAGAACTGACACAAATCTTAATTTTTTTATTTTACAGATGAGGACTCTGAAGCCCAGAGAGGCCTAGTGACTCTGAATACAGTCACACCACTAATGTTGGCTTTGTTGCTAAGGCTGGAAGTGCTTCTCTGCCATGCCTGACTTCTCCACCCAAAGCTTCAACCTTCCAGCTCCTGACAGCTTCTTTTGCCCCCCAGAAACAGGCTAGCTACCTTTCAAAGGCCCATTTGCTTTTGAACCCTGCCTCTAACTGGTTTCTCACATAGGGAGAGACAAGGGACAGGCTTTGAGTCTCGATGAATGGTTGAGCCACACGTGGCTCTGTTTCCCAGTACCTTCAACCCCCCATTTCCCTGGATCCTCTCTGATGGCTTACTGGGCAGATGATCCTGCAGGAACGACTTCCCAGAATCCCATCTTCATAAGGCCTGGAGGAGTGAGAAGTGTCCTTCTGATTGTGGGAAGCCACTTCCCTGGCTGCTCCTTCTTTTTTCTTCTGAATGTCAGTTTCCTAATTTGGATGGCAGGGTGAGATCAAGTACTGCTCCTTTTATGGTGTCCCCTTTGCCCTGGGAGTGCAAGGCCCAAGTTAGCACACATGCGTGCACATACATGCATATGCATGAACTCATGTCGTCACCATCAACCTGTTCAAGGGGTCTGTCTTAGTCTGTTTCTGTGGATATAACAAAGTACCTGAGACTGGGTAATTTATAAATAATAGAAAATTGTATCTCCTAGTTCTGGATGCTGGGAAGTTCAAGATCAAGGTACCAGCAGATTTGGTGTCTGGTAAAGGCTTGCTCTCTGCTTCCTAGACAGCACTGTTTGCTGCATCCTCCTATGGTGGAAGGGGGAAAAGGGCCAAAAAGCTCCCTCAAGCCCTTTAAAAGGGCACTAATCCCATTTGTGGGGGCATGACATAAGCATCCCCAGTAGTTCCCCCTCTTAGTACTACTGCATTGGGGATTAAGTCTCAATATGAATTTCGATGGACACAAACATTCAAACCATAGCAGGGTCCTAAGCCAACGGCAAGACTGGAATCTCAGGATCTATATGTCAAATGAGTCACAAGGAAGGGAAGACAAATGCAGGAATGGATTTGGGTGGTGAGAAGTGAGGACATGAGTGGTTCTTGAGGGCAGAGGAGAGGAGGCAGCACAGGTAACTAAGGCAAGTGGGCATGGCCTGGCTCCCTGAGAGCCGGAAAGGGACTCCCTTTGTGTGGGGCTGTCAGGATGAATATAATCTTTAGGGGAGAGGGGAGATGCTGATGGAGTCAGACAGGGAGAGTTCTGAGAGGAGTCAGTTACCCCAGAATATTCCCATCCTACAGCTGGATTGGAGTTACCAGAGTGCCATCTGGGAGTGCCTGGGATGTGCAGGGAGCGGCTGGAGAGATGGCCATGATCTATCCAGCACCTGTCCTGCCCCCAAAGGCTGATGATGTAACAGTATAACAATGCGACAGAGAACAAGGGGGGCTTTGTAGTGTTGCTCTGGGGGAGGGCTAGTCCGGCTTTCAGTGATGTAGCTGGGATAAGGCAGCTGTTGTCTGTGCTCTGAGCTCAGCAGCAGCCCCTGCCCCTTCAGTGAGCAGTCTGAGTCTGGCTCCACTCACCTTAATTCCAGTCGTCAGTCATGGGATGGCTCATGACACTCCTTCCAAGGAACAGAAATTATTTGGGTGGCACTTGTCAGCCACATAGACTCTAATTAGAGATCAGACAGAATATAGAAAAGACCCTGCCCAGGAATGAAGTGGAGGCTTTCCTACAAGGAAGGAGACATTCAGACCCTGGAGAATTCTTTATCCTGGGTCCCCAAGCATTTCCTCTCCCCTGCCCCAACATCCCACCTCCCTTGTCTTCTGATGCCCCTCATTTGCCCATATGCCTTCAATTTAGGCCTCTCTCAAAGGGTTCCTCACGCAGGGCCTCTCCCACCTTGTACCTGGTCTCTCTGGAAGGCCTCACCTTGATCCTCAATGATCCTCCAGAGACTCTCACTAGGATTCTTTGCAAACACCTTGGATGTGATTTTGCCTAGAGATTTGTTGGCCACCATTGTCCAAATGTTCCCCAGATGCTCTGCTAACCAGGCCCAGAGAGCAGAATGAAGTTAGGGGGACCCTCATCCCCCAACTCTACCAGTTTCCCTTCTGCTGCTTCATTTAAGCTCCCCTGCCACTCAGGTCCTTAGAAAAGTAACCTCAGCACCCACTTTTTTACCTTTTCCTTTCCTTGTCCCTAACCAGAAACCCCAGATGGGAGGCTGAGGTAGGTGGATCTCTTGAGCCCAGCCTGGGCAACATTGCAAGATCTTGTTTCTAAAAAAAAGTAAGAAAAAATCAGCTTGGTGTGGTGATACACACCTGTAGTCCCAGCTACTCAGAAGGCTGAGACAGGAGGATCCCTTGAGCCTAGTGGTTCAAGGCTGCAATGAGCTATGATTGTGCCATTGCACTCTAGCCTGGGCAACAGGGTGAGACCCCCTAAAAAAAGAACAAAACAAAAATTTTAAAAAGAAACCCCAGGTCATCATTCTCCAAACTTCTATAGTGTCTTTGAAGGTGACACCCATGCCTAACTTACTCCTGTGCCTCAAACTCAGTAATTCAAAAGTTAAAGATTCAATAAATATTTATTGAAAGAATCAGTCCTCAAAACTTCTCAAGTATATTTCCTTTTTTTCTCAGTATACAGTCCTGCCCAGCCCCCAACAACCACTGTTTTATTCCCAAGGCAGCTTTTAAGGAGCTGTGCAGAGGCATTACCCTCTTCCAGTCCCAGAAGATGAGGGGAACGCGCCAATGTCCGGGTCTGGAACCCGGAGCTGAGCATGGCCCGCCTGCCTCCCCTGAGCCCGGAGGCTCCAGGCGGGATTGTCTGTCCTCACTCATCCTTGCCGCCAAGGCCTCCTCGCCTGTATTTATATACACTAAAGCCTCTGCTCGAATAAAACATCCATGTAAAATCCAATTTCCTCAGAATCTCTTTTGGAGCCTGGGCCTGAGATGGAGTAGGTAACCCCGGCGGTAACTGCCTGAACCACTCCTGCTGGCTGCAAAGGTGAGGCCCATTTTTCAATTATCTATCTGCTGTGACAGCAGCGGTCCAGCCACCGAGCCAAGGCAGGGGGAGGGGAGAGGCATCGCTGGGGAGGAGGGAGAAAGAGGGCAAGGGCACGGTGGGGGAGAAGGAGAGGAAGAAACCTAGGAAGAGAGGCACGGAGGACAAACCCTGGCACGTGGCACCCAGTAGGTGCTCAAGAATTATTTGGAAAACGAGTGATCTCGGAAGAGTGAATAGGGAGGGTGGGAGTGAGGCGAGGAGAAGGGGAGAGCTGGAGAGGCACAGAGTGGGTGGAGAGAGAGAGAGAGTGCGGGAGGGGGAGAGGGGGAGGGGAGGCGAGCGTGGATGGAGCCAACAAGAGGCTCCTGTGTCAATCCGTGGAAACGGGAGGCAGAGTGATGCGGTCACAGCTCCTGCCATCAATATCCTCTAATATAAATGTCAGTGATGCTATTTTCCGCGCAGTCATTTCGCACACTGCTGATTACATTAACGTATAATGGAGGGGCGCCGGCTCCACTGCTTTCTCCCCTAACCCTCCCCCCGGTGATGTGTCAATAGCCGCCTCCATGAACAAGTCAATTTTCTGCAGGCTTGGCAGCGGAATAAATCTGCCCGGCTATGGGGAGAGCTGGAGATATTTATACACCCAGCGCCTGCCTTCCGTGTGCGCGCGTGCGTGTGCGCGGCGGGCGCGGGCCGAGGGGGGTCTGGGGCGCGCCGCCGAGCTGAATGATTTCCAGCCCCGACTCAATAAGAGGAGAATTTAGAGCGGTCCCTGAGCTGGGCTCCCAGAAACAGCCTTACACGTTTATTTTCCTTAGCTGAACAGGAAAGGCGAGAATTATGTGTGGATTTATAGGACAGGCGCAGCTCAACCCAAATGCTCCCGCTCCGGGGGGCGGGGACGGGGCGGTGTGGGGAGGTGGCAGGCCAAGCGCGGGCCGCTGGGACCCCCGCTCGCGCCAGCGCTGGTAGGGACGCACCCCCCTCGCCCGTCGCTTTAATTACATTTGTTCTTGTCCTTCGTGAGGGCGAGACTTCCGCGCGGCCCGCGTGGGGGCGCAGGGGGAGGCGCAGGCCAGGACTGCCTGGAGGGGGCGGGCACCAGGAATGGCGACTTGGGAAGACCAGGAGGGGGGCTGTCAGCCTTTGCTCAGAAGTGGATCAATAGTACGCGGTCTAATGGGCTAACTGCCAAGCGGGCGCACCGAGGCGCTGCCCCGCGGGGGCGGGAGGGAGTGGGCGAAGGACGAGAGAAAGGAAGGGGGGTGGGAGCGGGAGTGAGGACAGAGGAGGGGGGAAGGGGGGGAAGGGTAGGAAGAGTGGAAGAGATTGTGGGAGGAGGAAGAGAGAAGATAAAGAAGGGAACAGAAGGAGAGCGGAAGCGGGAGGAAAGGGACAGGGCAGGACAGCCCTCGTGGGGGCGTCCCTTCAACATGCTTTCCCCTCTTAACGCCGGGAAGGAGGAACCTGTCCGGGAGCCGCCAGACCCCGCTGCCGCCCGCCTTCGGGCCTCGACTCTGTCATTGAGCCGCCAGGGGGCGGAGCGACCCTGTGCTCTCCATGCGGATCTCTTCGCTGGGGCTCGAGTGACCGGTCGCCTCCAAAGCCTGGTCCCCCCCCCCCCCCCCGCGCCTCTGCCTGTTCCCAAAGGCCTCCCGCGTTGACAGGGTGGGCGTTGGGTGGCTCCCCCCCAGCCCCTGCCCTGAATAAAGGAATCTCTCGCTTTCATGGTGTTAGCCTTGGGGCCCTGGGACCCTGGAGTGGGGAAGTGCCCAAGGGCTAGGTCTCCTGGCTTGGGGCTGGCTAATATTCCCCCTGAAGATGCCCGAGGCTGTGGCAGATGTGATATTGGAGGCGGTGTAGGATTTAGGCCTTTGTACCCTGGTGAGGAGGCACAGGCAAGTCTCCTGGACACGAAGAGTCCCTTCCTGAAGGGTCCTTCTTCCTGTGCTGTGCTAATGAGGCCAGCCAAAGCGGCCAGGGATCAATCTGCAACTGCCCAATTTTAACTCTTTCAGTTCCTGGCCTCTGTCTGACCCCCTATTCTCCTGGCCACTGACATAGCCAGCTCTGGAGCCTGTCCCTTCCCAAATTGAGTGAAAAAATAAAATACAGCCCAACACCCCTGCCAGCAAGTTCTGCCACCCTGGAGAGGGAAACCTGGTGGGGGCAGTTCAAGGGTTCACCCCTGGAGGGGATATCAATTACTTGGGGGAGCCATTCAACATAAACGTGTTTACCCACTTACACTCATTGTAACGGGTGTTGCATGTATAGGCAGGGGTTCCCGGACACATGCACTTTGTCACAGCTCCCCAGGTAATTCTGATATATCCCCATATGAGCATTCCCTGAGGAAAGGTATTTACAATTGCATATTTCCAAATGTTGGGTAGCTCAGCTTGGGCTATTTGCCCTCGTGGATATGTCTGTGTGTCACTGTGTGAGTATGTCATTGGGTTCCTGTGTCTCCTGGTAAGCATTGCTTTGTGTATCTCTTTGTGCATCCTCTGTGCATGGATGCCACTGGCTATGCATTGTCCTGTATATCACTGGTGTTATCATCAGCATTTATTAAGAACACCTATTGTGTCCGTGTCATTGTACATGTCTGTCCTGGCAAGAGCGAGTGACGGTCCCATGGTGTGTTTGTGTTGTGTCGAGCACATCTCTGTGGGCTCCATTGTGGGGCACAGCCATTGTCTCCATGTCATTGAGAGGGTGTGCTGGGGAGAGCTTGTGACACAAATGGAACGAAGCTGATCTGCCCCAGAAGCAAAGGCGGCAATGACCTTCTTTTTCCAATTATATCCTGGTCAGAGGTGAGTGACCTCTCTCCACTGAGGCCACTTCTTGTCATGCAAACCGAGCAGAAGGATGGAGATTAGAGGAATGTGACCGAGTCACGTGTGAAAACAATCAGCTATCAATGGGCCCCAATCAATGCCCCACATTACAGATGAGCCCAGGGCAAGCAGTCACTTTGGAGTTTTTCCCAAGGAGGCAAAAGCACACAGTACATAGCCACATGTGTCACATATCCCCAGAGACCCACATGCACTTACACAGCCTGGGGACAGGTAGTAAGAGGGTTGGAGGGCTGGGCAAATGAATGGCCACCCGCTCTGAATTGGTGGGCAACTATCATTATTAGTAGGTGGTTATATTGTTTTTGCTAAAGACGCATCCTTTATTCAGCTGGTAGCGGGAAGTGTAAAAGCTTGTGTTGAGTGTTTTCTATTTTAAGTCCAGAGAGTTAGGACTCTAAGTGGGTCACAGGAGGCAGTGTGGGGATTTGGAGGAAATGCTCATGTAAGAAACAGGAGCAATAGAAGGCTGTGCTGAGAGGGTGGCAAAGGAAAGTGTTTGGTCAGCTGTGGGCAGGGGGCAGGTTGCAGGAAAGGGGCTCATGGGGCCAGGGCACTTGTCCTCAGAACGACTTGATACCAGGCTGTGGGGGGAGGGAGCCGAGCTTCTGAAGGGCAGGGCCAATCCTAACCACAAACATGCTCCAGTGTGGCCGGCAGGGCTGGGAGCACGGACTAGGGGAGCAGGGGCCTCTGGAGGGCACAGCCGTGGGGGCCCTCATGGGGTTGACTAGTCTTGGGAGACAGGCGGTTCAAGCATTTGGGGGGCTATAAGCACCAGCTGAGGGGGTGAGACTGGATCAAGAGAGACCAATGAGAAGATAGGAAGGGTTCTGGAAAGGCCTGAGGACCTCATTAGACCTGGCTGTGGTACTGGCGGAGCCTACCTCTGGCCAGCACTCAGTGTGGCTGAGTCAAGCACCCAACCCAGCCAAGGTTGAGGCAAGGGAAAGTATCATGTCCTCTGTGCCCAGTGGGGGGTGACAGGCAGTTCTCTGAAGCCTTTAGTTGTCTTTGAATCCCTTTGGTGCACATTTATGGATGTCCCACTTTGCCTCACCCTATAGGAATGCAATGATGGGTGAGAATGACCTCAGGGAGTTTGCAGTCTAATGTAGAAAGAGTTTGAAGACTTTAAAGTCTTTTTTTTTTTTTTTTTTTTTGCTTTGGAAAAAGTACTGTTACATAAGAGCATACTACCTGGATTAAAGCCCCAGCTGGGCCATTTACCAGCTAGAGCTTATGAATTCTCAGGCCTCTTTTCCTAGTCTATAGAATAGGGATACCTACCTGTTAGAATTGTAGTGCAAATTTTAGGTAAAGTCCTTAGAACAGCACCTGGCCACAATAACCTAAGTATTGGCTCTTCTAGTCTTTCTTCCAGTTTTCTAGTGCAAGGTCTTTGGAAAAGTCCTATTCTTGGGTCAGTGGAATTAAGGTGAAAAAAAAAAAAGTATTCATACCTTGGACCAGACAACAGGATGATTAGAACTCCTTGAGAGATTGGAGTGTTGGGGGAGTAGGAGCAGGGAAGGGACCTGCTGGGGGATGTGGGGATCCCAATGTGGGGCCCGTGGAGCAGTGAGGTGGACTCTTTCAGGTGGGGCTGAGAAGGCATAGCACAGACAGGTGACAGGGTGGCGAGAGAGATCCTCTGCGCAGAGCCCAGCACACTCAGGACAGTTCCGTGCTGCTAACTCTGCCCCGTCTGCCCGTCTCCCTGCTGGAGCTGCTAGCCCACAGGCGTCCAGGGGGCGCTGCAAGGGAGAGCTGCCTGTCGCCACAGGATCGGCATTCACTTTCCCAGGACGGGCCTAACTCCCTTCTCTCCCGCCACTTGACCTCAGCTACAGCAGCCCCCTCTGCTGGCCTCCGCGGCGCTAGAACTGGGCCCTTTCCTTCCAGCAGGCTCTGACATGAAAGGAGAGGTCACAGCAGACGCATGCTATAGCCTGGCATATCGAGGGCCAGAGGATCCCTGAACTAAGCCTACTTGTTTAACCAGACTCCAGTAATGCTCGGGAAAGATTCATGCAGACAGCTTGGCCAAATGGTTAAACTGTAGGCTCCGGAAACAGAGTCCTGAGTTTGAGTTTGAAGCCAGATTCTGTCACTTATTAGTTGGTATGAACCTGGGCGAGTCATTTAGCTTGTGTAGGCTCAGTTTTCTTATCTGAAAATTGGGAACAACAATAATACCTACCTTATGAAGTTGTTGTGAGGTAGTGTACTTTATAGTTAGTACACTAACTAAGGTAGTGTACTTTATAAAGTGTTTAGCACAGGTCACTAAGTAAATGATCAGCCAAATTCTCTCAGAATTTGCCAATGGAGGAACTTCCTGCTATGACAAGACTGAGGTCCTCTAGGGGTCTTAGCCCGTGACTGTGGGCTTCTGGGGACCTTACTGTCCCATGTTTGTTTATTCAAACCCCAAAGCACCAAGTAGCCAAGCAGCTGTCAGCATCAGCTGCTTATTTATAGAATGGGGTGGGAGGGATGAATTGGGGAATCCTGGTTACTGTGCAGGGGACAAAGGGTTAAGGCAGGTAGGGGGTACTGGCATGGGAGTGGGTCACTCTCTCCTCTTCCACTCTCCCCTTCCATTGATTATTCTCCTCTCCAGGTATTTTTGTGGCTTTTTCCCTCCTCCCTTGGGGTGGGAGTGGGGGCTGCTGGGTCCACTTCGGGCTTAGTTATTGTTTTAATTTTGGTGCTGGCTCCCTGGTGCCTGGAGTGGATAATGAAAGAAGAAAAGAGAGGTCAGGGTGGTGCCCAGGCAGCAGATTTCTGCCCGTCAGACTGGGTTGGGGCGGGTGGGGAAGTGTTGGGGGGAGTGTTAAGTTAATATCAATAAAGCAACTGGAGTCTCAGAAGTGAGGAGCTGCAGAGCCAAGCACAACGTCTTCGTACTCTGGGAGCCTAAAGGGGCACTTTGCCTGGCCACTATGAATCCTCAAAGCAGGGTTGGGCATGGGGGTAGGTGTACAGGGAGCACACAGGCTCCCGGTGGGCACAGCTCAGGGGCAGCCAAGAGCGACAAAGGAACAAGGGAGGAGCTGGGCAGAGAATGAGTCCCAGCTCCATCTCGTGCTCAGGCTTTTCTGTCTGCATTGCCCTACTGTATGTCCAATCCCACAGAGGGTGGATTTGAAGGGGCTGTGCTGTGGGGCTGCTGGAGATGGAGAAAAATAGAAAAAGGAGGCAGGAAAGTAGAGGGATTAAGATCACAAACTTTGCATCAGATAGACCTGGGTTTATGGACAAGTTCTGCTTCATGGCTATGTGACTTGAGCAAGTTACTCAACCTCTCTGAGCCTCAGTTTCCAATTCTGTAAGATGACACTAAACGTGATGCTAACCTTATAGGGTCATTGACATGGTACTTAGAGAACTCAGCATGGGGCCTGGCATGCAGTGAGCACTCAATACATGCTAGCTATCCTTATTAAGCCTGTTTCCTCAGCTGTAAAATGGGGATACCCGTTATAACTTCCCCATAGGGGTCTTATGGGGAGCAAATCAGATAAAGCCTGTAAAGTGCTTAGCACAATGCCTGGTACATAAATAAGGCCTCAATACATGTTAGCTGTTGGTGTTATTATATTATTTTTATCTTTATTATTCCCTGCTGTCTTGGAACTGGTGATTTAGTTGAGGAGACTGAGGCCAGGCCACTCCCTTAGCCATCGGAGGCATTGGCTCCCATCAGAAAGGCTTTCTGAAGCCCAACCCCACTTGGAGAACACTTTTGGTATTTCTTTTATAATCCTGTGGACCGACAGAAAGTCTCCAGGAGCTGAGATGACTGTGGGACATGCGGGAGAATGAGACCCTCCCCCATGACGACCTCTGCCCCCAGGAGAACCATGTGGGCAACATGGCTATCATGGGAGGGCCAACTGCCTCACTGTGCCCGGCCCCACCCTACACCCCTCAGTTGAAGGCAGTATGGGCTGCAAGAGGATGCTCACCTCTTTCCCCGTGGGGCAGCTCAGTGGGCAAGTCTGCGAATGTGGGTCTCAGAAGCCCCCCATCCTTATCCCATCCCCACTCTCTCAAGTCTGGGGGTGGGGGTGGGGACAGAGCAGACCCAAAAAGAGGGTAGTTAATGTTTCCCACTTGACCTTTCTTCCCCCACCCCCTCCCCCACCTCCACCAGGCGGGCAGGCTGAGGAGATGAATGGAGTAGAGGGCACGATTTTCACATTAATGGCAGCATATGTTGTGTTTATTGACACCGCAGGGTCGGTGCTTGTGGTGGTTGGGAGAGGGGGCGCCTAGGAGGCCACCGGCAGGAGGGGGCAAGGGGAAGAGGAGGCAGAGGGGAAGGTTGCCGGAGGGTGGGGAGGAGGAGAGAGACTGGAGCCTGGGGCCTGGGGGGAGGGAGGCAGGAACAATATTGTTGCACGAGCACACCAGGTGCTCGCTGTCAGCCTGAACAAAAAAGAAGAGTCAGCAACTCTTGGGGGTGGGGGAGAGGAGGCGGGAGCCACCGCCTGCTCCATCCTGGCAGCCTTTCCCCCGTTAACCCTTGCTCTGCCATGCAGCTGAAGAGAGGAGGGGCATCTGGGGCTCTTCCCAGGCCTAGGAGCTCCCCACAGCCCTGGTCTCATCAGAGCCACCATATCCCTTTAGTCATCTGGGAGATGTCACTATCTCTGGGGTCCGCAGTGGCAGGACTTTCTTTTGCCTTCCCCAAAGCCTGAAGGAAAAGAAGCCCCTCTCCTCTGTTCCACTCTTCCATAACGGAGGGACTTATGTGGTTCTTGGAAGTTGGCAAAACAGAGTAGCAGGGGTCAATGACCTTGGCGCTGGAAGGCCGCTGCAGGTGGGGGGCTGTGTGAGGAGGGGATAAGAAAAGGAGGTGATGGTCCCTCCGCTGGAAGTTGCCGGCAAAGACCCCACAATTCCCTTCTCTCTGCCCTGGCTGCAGATTCCTTGCCTCCTGAAAGTCTTCCCGGGGTCCACAAGATCTGTTCTGTAAAGATGGCTCTCCCTGGACTGGGAAGACGGGCTCGCTCACTCCTCAGCCCAGAAAGCACCCGGGCCCATCGTGCAATACTCAGGCGCATAGATACCAATGAGCTCCCCACGCTGGACCGCCATTGTGGAGGTCTGGGAGGGGCTCCTGGTTTCCTGGGTGGGGAGCAGAGCTGCAGGTGTCTCCAGCTGTCACTGTCCTCCTCCCTGCCTCTCTTCCACTTCCTACAAAAGCCCTGAAGGGAAGCAAGGTGCTTAGGGCTACGTGCACTCGCTTCCAGCATTCTGGTTGCTCCGGGGTGGCTGGTGGTGCAGGGGAGGATGAGAGGGAGAGACCACCTGTGAGGGGAGGAGAGAGGACTGGCCTTTCACCCCAGGGAGGCAGGAGTTAAGGCTTATACCTTCACCCCTGAGCTGGTCTCTTCCAAAGTCTGTGACCTTACATTCTGGAGCCTTCAATGGATCTGGACATTAACTTTCGTCTTGGCTACTCTGGAGTCCATGTCTTGGTCACGCTGAACGAATGTCGTAGCTCCTCGCGCTTGCACAGGGGGCGGGGCCCGTAGAGGGGAAACGTGTTCTTTCCATGTCCCCACCCAGACGCCCCATCTCTGTCCGGCCACCAGGGGTCTCTGAATTTAGGCGCAGAGGCCTCTGTGCATCTCCCTAACCACGGCTGCACGCGCGGCAGGCCGCCGGCCTTGAGCCCTTCCCGACACCCTCGTCTTGCAGCTAGGGCCCACGGGCGGCATCTCGTCCTCCCGGGCCCCCGCTTTTGCGTGGCGGAGCAAAGCCCCAGGGCAGACCCAGCCGCGCCGCGCCCCTCGCCGGTCTCATCCCAGCTCCTCCCCGGGCTTCAGGCCCGGTCCGCGCCCCCCCTTCCGCGGCCCTCTTCGCCGGGCTCCAGCTGCGCGCGGAGCGGTCCCCGGCTCGGCTCCAGCTCCTCAATGGCCCTGCTCCCCCATTACCCTGATGTCGGCCCCTCTCCCCCTCGGCTTTATCGGCTCTCAGCCGGCTCCGCCAGGGTAATGAGGGCCCTCCTAATTACCACTGCAGAAACTCCACTTACATTAACAGCTCCATCCGAGGAGCGGCAACATCTGCTGTGCGCAGGCAGGCGCCCGTCCCCCGCCCCTCGCTCCCCGCCCCTCGCCGCTCCCCTCTTTCCCCGTCCTGTCCCCCGACCCTCCGGGACCCCCTCTCCAACTCTCTCCTTCTAATCTCTTCTCTTTTCATGCCCTCCCACTACCCTACCAGCCAAGTCCTTCTCAACTTCAGCATCCCAGGATGAGAGAGATCCAAAGAGAGACAGGGCCCCAGAGATCTTGACACATTGAGACACTCAGAGTGGCTGGGCCAGAACTCCAGGAGACCCATAAACTCAGGAACACAGCCAGGGAACCCAGGAACAAATAGAAAGTCGAAGCAGCAGAGACTGTGAAAGACATGGAATGTGGAATGGAGCACACTGAAGTGTGTGTGTGTGGCTCTGATGTCCACTGATGTGCAAAGGTATGTACGTGGTATGCATATGTGTGTATGAACATGTATCATGTATTTTGCATGCTCTTTTACTTAAGCATCATGTATATGAGTATGTGCGTGCATGTCGGTGTGTCTTTACTTGCATGTGTATCTGTGTGCGTTCATGAATACATCTATTATGCTATTATGCATTTGCATCATGTGTGCAAATGTATTTGTCTATATGTTTCTCTGTATTTGCATTTTACAAATGTGTATTTCTGTGTATATGCATACACATGTCTATCATATATGTAATTTGCACGTGTGTCATTTGTATGTGACTTATGTACATGTATGATCCAGGTTCACAGTCATGTGTGCACTATGTGTGGATGTGCATGTGCCTCTGGGTGTGTTTGCATCTCTGCATGCATGCCTATGCATGTGTGTATCATCTGTGTAATTATTTGATGAGAGTGGGAGCATGTGTGTGTTTCTGCTCCATGGGGGATGACAGGCAGTTGGGAAGACGCTGAGCCCATTTTATCTGAGGTTAACAGGGGTCACATTTCACTCCTGGAAGTCCCCCACCCTCCTCCCTGCCCCATACAATTAAGCCTCAGTGTGGTGGAAAGACAGCCAGCAGACATTAAGAAAGGTCAACAATATTATCAGCTTCTAATCCAATTAGTTACTGCTTATTTGGGGATCCAGCTTCAGGTCAGCTTCTAGGGAGGAGGCCTGGGAGAAATGAGGGCATGAGAGGGGGACAAGCCAAAAAAAATTTAAAGATGGCCTGGGCTGTGGATGGGGGGAGCTGTCCCCTAAGCACTGTCAGATAATCCTCCTCCCGCTGGCTGTTTCCAAGCTGGACAGGGCTTGGGTGGGCCTGTGCTTCAAAGGAGGTGCTAGGATCTAGGCTTTCATCTCTAGAGGCTGGGCTGAAGGAGAAGAAGCGTTGTTGCACTCACTCCAGAGACTTCCTGCCACTTTCCAGTCCTGGGATTACGAAAAGGGGGACTGAGAGCTGGACAGGCTGCCTCAGGGCTGCGGCCAGGTCCCCCTGGGCTGGGAGAGTCAGAGGAGGAGATGTTGGTGAATGCGCTATTAGCTTTAGAAGCCACTTCATTAATCCCGCCCTCTGTTTTATTTTCCCTTTTCTCTTCCCACATCCTTTCCTGAGCCCTAGCAGGACCCCTACTCCCTCACACTCCAGGACATGCAGGGGCCCTAGCTTAGCCCTATAGGGCCCCAGGTACCCCCTACTGAGTATAAAGAGTGGAAGTGACCTCAAGCTTGGTCTCAGCCCAGTGAGACTGAGGACCCTGGGCAGAAAAGACATTGGGGGGAGGTCTTTGCACTGCTCTGACCCTCTCTGACCTCTCAGAAAGGACAATATCCTGGGATGCCCAGGCTGCTAGGGGGCAGGGGACTAACAGGAAGAAGAGAGTTGGCTGCTGGATTCTCAGGCCAGATCTCAGGGGGCTCCACACCAGCTTAGCAGGCAGGAGCTGGCAAGAGCTAACCATTCCCACACATCTGTGGCCAAATCAGGGTGATAGGAACAGCCATTTTCCTCAAGAAGCTAAGCTTTTGTGTGTTCCCTGAGGTTAAGTGCATAGGCCTGAGCCCCCAGGAATGAGACTGCTTGTTCTTCCTGGCCCCAGCCCCCTTCTCTCAGCACAGAAACCCCTCATAATTTGTTTTCTTCTCACTGCCCTTTCCAAGCACATATTCATGAAATTAAACACACACACATACACACACTTATGAACCTGCCTCCTGAGACTCCAGGCCAGAGATGACCAGGGTATGAAAATAATTAGACTGTTTTGAGAAGTTCTAAAAGAACAACAACAAAAAAAAAAAAAAAAAAAAAAAAAGAAAATATTGGCAGTGGTCCTTATTTAAGGAGTTACAATGGATCAAAGTGCTCTACAGACTTCCCTGAAAGGTATTTCCCCAAATTCATCCCCCAAAGTATAACAAGAATGATGATAATACCTCGACAATAATAATGATAATACATTCCTTTCTTCTAGCAGTTATCATCCTTAGCTGAGTCAGTGAAGTCAGTGAATGGCTGAGTGAGGTGGCTCATGCTTGTAATCAATCCCAGCACTTTGGGAGGGCAAGGCAAGAGGATTGTTTAAGGCCAGGAGTTTTAGACTAGCCTGGGCAACATAGCAAGACCCTATCTCTAAAAAAGAAAAAGAGAAATCACCCTTTAAGAAGTTCTTAAAAACCATACATACCTGGGTCCCACCCCAGATCAAGCAAATCTGGATCTCTAAGGATGGGTCCCAGGAATCTGTATATTTTATAAAGCTCCACAAATGTTGGCTATAGTTAGCAAATTCTATCTATCTATTAAAAGACTAAAATTAATAGATGGCAAAGCACTGCCTTTCATTAGCCAGGGCAGTATTGTTATCTCTCTTTTACAGATAAGGAAACTGAGGTCCAAGTTACTTAATGGTAGTGGTTTTTCCTTCCTTCCTTCCTTCCTTCCTTCCTTCCTTCCTTCCTTCCTTCCTTTCTTCCTTCCTCCTTCCTTCCTTTCTTCCTTCCTCCCTCCTTCCTTCCTTCCTTTCTTCCTTCCTTCCTTCCTTCCTTTCTTCCTTCCTCCTTCCTTCCTTCCTTTCTCCTTCCTTCCTTCCTTCCTTCCTTCCTTCCTTCCTTCCTTCCTTCCTTCCTTCCACCCCTCTGTCCTTCTTTCCCTTCCTCCCTCCTTTCTTTCCTCCTTCCTTAGAACAAGATTTCCTAATGTGAACTGAATGTAGTCAGTCCCTGGAATTTAGAACACCTAGATGGGCCTTCCAAGAACGCCCTTCATTTCATTGTCTGCTCCCATGCACAGCCTCTTCATGGACATCACTTCATCTAATTTAACAAAGCTTTATAGAGCTCTTACTCAGGCACTACAGAGCATCGCAAGAGGAATAAGACAAGTGGCAGAAGAGAGGCAACATAATATATTTGGGTAAACAGGCCTTTGGTGTCAGATGGTTTGGATTTGTATTCAGGTTCTATTACTTATTATCCATGCCATCTTATTCAACTCATTAGTCACTCAGAGCCTCACTTGTAAAATGGAGATAATACCTACTTTCTGGGGTTGTTAGAATTAGAGAAATGGGTGTTAAGTTATTAGTGCCATATCTGATCAATAGGTGCTAAACATTATTATTCTGAAATGTAAAGAAATCTGCTGGAACAGCTAAAATTTAACAGTCTGACAATACTGGAGCAACTAGACTCATATACAGTAATGAGAGTGTAAATTGGTAGAATTGCTTTGGACAAAGGTTTTGAAAGTACTTATTAAAGCCAAATATATCTACATCCTACAACTAAGCAAGTCTATTCCTGTATATGGGTTCATATGAAATGAATGCTTATGTTCAGCAAAAATCATGTACAAGAATGTCCACAACAGGTGATTTTGTAATAATCCCAAATGTCTAGCAACAATAGAAGTTACCCCTTCTATGCACTTTGGTATATTCCCACAATGGAATACTACAAAGCAAGGAGAAAAAATGGACTGCAAAAAATTTAGGAAATCTTCAGAGATACAATGTTTCATGGAATAAGTTGAACACAAAGAGTATATATGATTAATTTGTAAAAGTTTCCATAACAAGCAAAGTTAATCTCTGATACATATATATATTTTTATAATTTAAATTATTTTTCCTTCTTTTTCAGGGGGTTCATTTTCATACTTTAATTCTCTGATATAAATTAGAATAGGAGGTACTGGGGAAAGAGGCAAAAGGATCCTTCTGGGTTGCTAGAAATGTGCTATATTTTCATCTGGTTAGAGGTTAGCGTGTATATGTAAAAACTCATTTGAATTTACTTAAGCTTATTGTACATGAGTGTACATAAAGTTCTATTTCAGTTCAAAAAATAATCATGCTTTCAGACAACCTAAAATAAATGCCCTGAGAGGACTGAAAAGGACTTTGGAACCCAAAGGAAGAGGTAGACCTGGTGGCCATTGTGCTTAGGAAGGGTGATCAGGAAAGGTTTTGTAAGAAGAGGCTTTTACTATAGGACTCAAAGGAAAGGCGAGGTATTGATAAGTAGAGGATGAAATTGCTGTTGAGAAGGGGGAGTGTTCCAGCTAGGGTGTAATTGTGTGAAGGAGGGTAGAAGAAAGGAGGCTGCAAAGGCGGTTTGAGATTAGATGAGCAAGAATGTGCTTGAGATGGTCATTTGGCCGCTAGGGGACTGGCTCGATGGAGGGGAGAAAGGTGGGGCACTGTGGCATTTAGCCTGCTGCAACAATCCTGCTAGTGAGTCTGTGGGCCTGTCACAGCCCAGGGCTGTGAGATCATGAGCCTCAGGTCCTTTGGGTGGCAGGGTGATGCCCCAGGAGGAGCCAAAGTGCAGTGATGAGAGTCGGCAGGAGAATTGGGCATTAGGAGAGGGCTCAGCTGAGGGTACAGTCTTCAGGGAGTCTCCTTCTCAAGCCTGTGCTGGGGGCATCTCTTGCCGCTGCTTCTGCATTGCTTTATTCCTGGGCAAGAACACTGTGCTCTGGTCCTTGCCCTGTCGGGCTGCTGGCAGCTGAGCCCTGGAAAGTGCATCTCTGTACCTGTCTCCTGCCTGGCACTATGCTCAGGACAGAGAAGGTGAAAAATAAATGTGTAAAGTGAAGGCTAGAGGTCTGGCTCAACCAACACAGCAAGTGGCTACCGGAAGCCTGCAGGAAAGTCCTCAGAAAACAGAACAGCTAAGAGCCTGGAAGGAAAGTGTGGTTTGCCTGAGTGTGTATCTTTCCTGTACTACTTACTAGCTGTGTGATCTTGGGTAAGTTACCTTCTGTGCCACAGCTTCTTCTGCTAAGTGGGGATAATGATGGTACCTGTTTCCCCAAGTTATTGTGAGGGTGAAATGAAGCATCTAAGCATTTGGAATAATGTCTGATATAGCACTCAAGAAATGTTAGCAATTTTTATAATTGCTTCTGAGTGGTGGGATTAAAGGTTTTCTTTTTCCTGCTTCTTTAGACTTATTTTCTACTTGGCTAAGCAGGAAAAAATAAATAAAAGAGAGAAGAAAAAGAAACTGGTGATAGAAACATACTTGGAGGGGCAGCCAGAGGAATGGGCACTGTTATTTAGAAACATTTCTCCAAAGGATTGCTAAAAAAATAAATAAATAAATAAAATAAAGAAAGAAAGAAAAAGAAAAGAAAAGAAACATTTCTCCAGCCTCAGAGCAGGAAGAAGGGGCTGTCTCTGCAGGACTGGGTAGGAGTGGGCTGGGTTTGAATGTTAAAGGGTGGGAGAGGCAAGGATTGTTTGCTGGGTACATGATGTAGACCTACAGACAGATCCAACATCTTAAATAAAATCCACCATCATTTATTGAGTGCTTAGCAGGGGCCTCAGTTTTTATATGTTACTACTGATCATCACCACAGCCCTGCAAGGTAGATATTATTAATAAATCCCAGTTATTACACCACTCTGAGGAGTTACTTGCCCAGGGTCCTACTGTGAAACTGAGAAACTGAACTCAGCATTGAAATGACTTCTTTCCACCAAACTTCCAGGCCATTTTCCACATGTGAGATGCAGGAAATACCCCTAAAAGAAGGGGAGGCTGTGTAGCCAGGCCCTCAGGCCTGAACCCCCTACTCTAGACAGGACCTGGTGGGGCATTCCCTCTCTCTCTCCCTTCTCTTCCTCTGGGTTATTGCAAGTCCCTGCCAGTCCCTGGACTTGTCCCCAAACCTCCTTGCTGAAGGTGGGCACCAGGCACTGGCCCCTAACCCTAGCCCAATCAACATTCCCTCCTCCATTCCCTCTCCACTGCTGGTGACACCCTTCTGGTCCCCTGCCTGCCATTACCATTCATCAGTGGCACTTTAAGCTCTGCCGCAGCCCCTCGTAGTTGCTAAATCCCCTATTTGGTTTAGTTCCACTCCAGCTCCCCACGCACGGAGGGTCCTGATGGGACACAGGGAAATTATACATGTAATAAAGAGCTGGTTTGCTCTGATAATTCTGATAATGATGAATGCCCCACCCCTTCCTGTGCACACACATGGCCATCCACACACGCACAGATAGAGCCCTCACATCCCAATCTACATACCCCACAAAACACGTTCCAACCAGCTGACATGCAGCTGACGTCCTGGGCGTGCTCCCCACACCAGAGTCTATACTCCCCTTACTAAGGTCACACCCTGTTCTAGGGAAATTCTCCGGGTCGCCTTGCATGTTCCCAGCTCCCATAGCACACGGCGCTCCCCATCATGGCATTTACCAGCTGTGTCCTGAGAGCCTGTCTTCTCTGGAGCCCACTAGATTTTGAGCCGTAATGGTGTCTGCGTGGTTCACTGTTTCACTGAGCACTTGAGCCCAGTGCCTGGAACACAGTGCCTCCTCCTTAGCCAGGCTGCGTGAATGACTGAATGAATGAATGCACGCATCACTGCATTCATCCCCTTAGCAACACACATTATGTCTTGGGATATCCCCCATCCCCACCCACCCTCATGGCACTCCTCCAAATTGCATCTTTTATTTACAAAGACACACACACCACACACTATGGAGCCGCTCATCTCTGCTAGCAGGTCCTCACGACACACTCCTGGCGATCCAGGACTATTGCGAACAGCTGCCTGAGATTCTCCTGGGTGCATGTGCAGGGGTGGCGGAGTAGGAGGGAACATGTGTTGAGCATGGGTGCATGTATGTGCATGGTGAGTGAAGCATGCTGTGTATGTCAGGGTGTGAATATGCAAGACTGTGCACGCGTGAGTTGGGGGGCTGCATGCATGTGCACATGTGCACACAGCCTTCTAGTCCCCAAACGTACCTTATTCCCAACCCTTTAAAAATAGTGAAAAGGATCGTTGGGTTCTTGTACAGGTTTCCTCTTCTCTTCTTCCTCCCTCCCCTAAGCTCCTTTTAGAGAGAAGTTTTATCCTCAGTTCCCCCTATTTTCATGCAGCCCAGGGAGGTTGAGAAAGGAAAAGGGAGACAATGTGGGGGTCAGCCCCCCTCCCGCCCTCCTGGTCAATGTTCTTCCACCTGCTGCCACCTGCCTCTACTACCACCTCCCCACCCCAGTCACATCTAGGAGGAAGCAAAAACAAAGCATGGCAGTGTCTACCCCGAGGACTGGTGAGCTGGGACCTGCAGGCTTACACAGAGCAGCCCTACCGTGGCCGCCTGTCTGTCACCTTTCGAAGGCCCAGGCCACTGCAGCTCTGTGCTGTTCTTGGGCCCCTTACTGCTTCTAACCTGTTCCTTGCTGGAACGTCCCCACCCAGCCTGCCCTCAATCACTGTCTCCAGCTCCTTTCCCTCCAACCATGGCAGGGGTTCCCCCAGGCCCTGTCCTTGGCCATCTTTTCTCTAGGGGACCTCAGAGATCTTTGAGACGTAGCCATTTTCCCAAGGTGGAGCCCTCTCCTGGGCAAACTTAGTCACTGCTGCAGCTTTGTGCCTGTGCCGGTGACTCCAGCCCTGCCTTCTCCAAGCTCCAGTCTCTTCTGGGACTCCCTGCAAGACCCTGCTCATGGGTCCTCTCTATGTCCCCCTCCCACTGTCACGCAGAGCCCCTTTGCCCAACCCCCTCAGCTTACGCTCTGTTTGATCCTTAGCATCACAGCCTCCCCCTTGCTTTTCCTCCACTGCCACCCTGGGCCCCCTCAGCCTCCTACACGCTCTCCTTGGACAAGCTCCTCAATCGTGGGGGCCTGGCTGGCTCTGGGGTTGCCTCACACAACCACCTACATCAGCCCTCCCTCCTCACATGCACTAGGGTGCTTGATTTTCTTTTTTTTTTTAACGCTGATCTGATCATGTCACAGCCCTTGTCAACAGCACCCCTCTCTTCTAGGATAAAGCTCCAAACCTTCCTAGAGCCTGCTGGTTCCAGCCTCCTCTCTTACCACGTGCCCCTGCACTCCCTGTGACACAGCCACAATGACCCTCTTCATGGTCCATCCAATCCAGGGCCCTCCAGGCCTCCTCTGCAGGCCGCAGGGCTGTGGGGCATGCTGCTTGCTCTGTCTGAAGTGCTTTCCCCTCTCCTCTCTCATCCTCCCACAGTCAGCTGCGCTGTCACTTCCTCAGAACAGCCTTGCTTCTACTCCTAAACCAGGTAAGCCTCCCCTACCGTATGCACTCCTGGCATCAGGAACACCTCCTTAGTTGGACTTATTAACACTTGTAATTTTCTATTGATGTGATTATTTATTTTATTGTCTGGCTCACCCACTAGAGGACTGTAGGATGAGGAGTATGTTTTGTGCATCACTGAAACCACAGGGCGGCGTCTGGTGTATGGGAGGTCTTTGATAAAAATTTGAGGGATGAATGAACGCATCAGCAGTCTCAGGCTGGATAAGAAAAGAATTTTCACCAAAAACTAGGTGTTACCTGCTCAAGACCTGAGTTTCTTCATCACGTCACTTACTTGCTCAAGAACTTTCTGTGGCTCTCTGTAACCTCACGATTCAGTCTTAGGCCCTCTTCTTGGATTATTCAGGCTTTCCAAATTTATTTTCTTTATTTTGTATCACTATCGTTTGCTTCGATCAAGCAAACTCAGCAGCCCATAGACATACCTTGATTAGACTGACCTTCATGCCATTCTCTCCACCTGGAAGAACTCTCATTTCATCTTTATTTTCACTTAAATCCTACTCATCCTTTAAGGCCAAGATCATATTTTTACACCAAGCGTTTCCTGTCCATTCTAGCACCTGCTGATCTCTTATGACTTGTACTCTATGTATATCTAGAATATCAGAGACTGTTAACTTTGGAAGGGCCACAGAGATCACTGGTTCAACCAGAGTCTAAGAAATCTTTAAAACCATGTTGTCCAGACTTTAGCATTCAACTTCACAACTCATTGCATATCCATATACCGCCTATGAGGTTACTGCATATTTTTTAAAAATCAACTTACTATTTTTTTACTAGTGTGTTTATTGTTTTTTAAAAATCTTTATAGCAGGCCGGGTGTGGTGGCTCACGCCTGTAATCCTAGCACTCTGGGAGGCTGAGGCGAGAGAATTGCTTGAGCTCAGGAGTTCGAGACCAGCCTGAGCAAGAGTGAGACCTTGTCTCTATTAAAAATAGAAAAAATTAGCCAGGTATGGTGACACATGCCTGTAGTCCCAGCTACCCAGGAGGCTGAGGCAGGAAGATGGCTTAGCCCAGGAGTTTGAGGTTGCTGTGAGCTAGGGTGATGCCACGGCACTCTAGTGGAGGCAACAGAGTGAGACTCTGTCCCAAAAAAAATAAAAAATAAAAATAAAAAACCCAAAACTTTATAGCAGTACAGAAACTATAAAACCATACAAATAAGTAAAATAGGCCAGGTGTGGTGGCTCACGCCTGTAATTTTAGCACTCTGGGAGGCCGAGGTGGGTGGATTGCTCGAGGTCAAGAGTTCGAAACCAGCCTGAGCAAGAGCGAGACCTCCTCTCTACTATAAATAGAAAGAAATTAATTGGCCAACTAATATATATAGAAAAAATTAGGCGGGCATGGTGGCGCATGCCTGTAGTCCCAGCTACTTGGGAGGCTGAGGCAGGAGGATTGCTTGAGCCCAGGAGTTTGAGGTTGCTGTGAGCTAGGCTGATGCCACGGCACTTACTCTAGCCTGGGCGACAAAGTGAGACTCTGTCTCAGTAAATAAATAAACAAATAAGTAAAATAAAAACAATGTTTTCTGGTTCTAGTTGGATTCCACTGCCTGTTGAAAGCTCTTTAGGTTGAAACCTCCTCTCTTTAAAAATAGAAAGAAAAGGAATACGTTAGAGGGGTGTTAAAGACACACTAGCACTAAATTGAGATGGTCTCTTCAATAAAACTGGAAGAATCAAACAACCCAAATGCCCATTGACAAGAAAGTGACATCTTTTTATTGTGGTAAACTATACATAACATAGAATTTTACAATCTTAGCCAATTTTAGGTGTGTAGTTCAATGGCATGATTTCTATTCACATTGTTCTGCAGTCATCACCATCTTGCATCTCCAGAACTCTTTTTATCTTCCAAACTAAAACTGTATGTGTTAAATAATGATCCCCACTCCCCTCCCCATCGCAGCCTCTGGCAACCAGCAATCTACCTCTTTTTTTTTGAGACAGAGTCTCACTTTGTTGCCCAGGCTAGAGTGAGTACCATGGCGTCAGCCTAGCTCACAGCAACCTCAAGCTCCTGGGCTCAAGCAATCCTACTGCCTCAGCCTCCCGAGTAGCTGGGACTACAGGCACACGCCACCATGCCCAGCTAATTTTTTCTATATATATCTTAGTTGGCCAATTAATTTCTTTCTTTTTTAGTAGAGATGGGGCCTCCCTCTTGCTCAGGCTGGTTTCAAACTCCTGACCTCCAGCAATCCGCCCACTTTGGCCTCCCTGAGTTTTAGGAATACAGGCGCCCGGCCAGCAGTCTACTTCTGTCTCTATGAATTTGACGACTCTAGTTACCTCATATAAGTGGATCATACAGTATTTGTCCTTTTGTGACCAACTTATTTCACTTAGGGTATCTTCAAGGTTCATCAATGTAGGAGCATATATCAGAATTTGAGGCTGAATAATATTCCATTGTATGTATAAACTGTAGTTTATCTGTTTATGTCTTGCTAGGCATTCGGTTGCTTCTACCTTTGGCTATTGCAAATAATGCTGCTATGATCTTGGGTGTAAGGAAAGTGATATCTTCACAATAGATTGAGGTAACCTCACACAATGGAATATTATACTGTAGTCAAGACAAAGGAATGTAAATGACATGCAACAATATGGCTAACTCTTAGCAATATAATTTGTGTGAAATAGCAAATCAAAAAAAGTGATATATACTTTGATTCTATTTTTTAATAAAATGAAAATCTGTTAAAATTTAAAATGTACTTTTTAGGAATAAGTATAGGTACAATAAAGCTATATTAAAAGGAAAGCAAGGGAATGATGAATATGGGACTCAATATGACAGTTGCCTAAGGTTGGAGGAGGGAATAGCTTGGGGGACTATTTGGTTACTTGTCAATTATTGTCAAGGTCTGAGATATTGTTTTGGGTGATAAATTCATGGATACTTATACTATTATTTCAAAACAACTAATAAAGACAAACTAAATATATAATAAAGTGTTCCATACAAGGACCAATGATGAGAGTGTCTCATGAACCAAGGCATATGATTAATTCACATCTGTGAACCTAAATTCCACTGGGAAAAAAGAGGGGAAAAAAGAGAATTGACAAGGACATAACTTTCTCACTATGGGATTCAGTGTGATTTAATGTCTTGTCAATGTACCATTGAAAATCATCTGGTATTCTGCCAGAAGTCCAGGTCCCCCACTTGGGTAAATAGCTCTAAAATATCTGTACCATGAGGCTGCCTGCTTCCTCTGCAGTCTTGCTTACCTGCAACATGAGCGAACTCAGAACTTCTGGGGGCACTTGTCTGGACTGATCCTTTTGTCAGGAAATTTTCCCTCGCACAGAGACAATTCAGCCTCCCTGAAACTTTTGCCCACTGTCTTGTGCTCCTGTTGGTGCCAGGCACAGGCGTGGGCACACAGAACTTGGAATTTGCATATCGATTGCCTTGTGCTTGGGCCTCTAGCCCTAACAACAACCAAGTCAGAACTTGACAGCGCCATTATTTCCTTTGGGTAGGAAATCAGCATTCTTGATAAAAATGCTTAAGCAATCTTCTGATAAATTTTGAATGGGATTTAGATTTCTTCTCAGAAACCAGTTTCCCATGTACCCTGCCAATGGTTAAGAGTTTGATAAATTTTACCCAGATATTATTTTTGTATGTCTTTTTAAACAATGATTCTAACCACTCTTCTTTCTTCTAAATGTGTCTATCAAGAGACAATCTTGAATTGGCCTCTTTTAGGTCTCTTCACTAGCAGCAAGATTGAAATAAAACTTTGACACATGCTCATAAATAAATTGTCTAAAAAGCTTTTTTTTTTACGGTTCTTTTCCCCCTTGAACATAACTGAATTCTTGAAGGTAGGCTAGAATTTCTTAGCCATATTTTTACTAACCCCTGGCTGGGATTAACTGAGACTCCTTGGTCCAAACTCTTGGCTCGACCCAGTAGGGCCCCCTCCCAGCTCTGATCAGCTATTTTCTTCCCCTGATAGAGTCCAAGGCCTTGAGAGTCCTGGGGCAGGAGGGGAGAGGGGGAAATTATAGACCTGAATATATCTCGATAAATCTTCACTGAACCTCAGAACTAGGGATGGGGACACCTTCACCCCCTCTCCTGTATGCACAGAGTCACTGGAGTGGTGGGTAGAAACCTTTTGGGCAGAAGCTGACTCTGAAGCCTCTGCCCTCTTTTTAGGGGCAGAAGTCAGGGAGAAGCTATGAACATCGGTGCTCCAGGTTGCTGCTTGGCAGACTTAGTCCCTAGTCCTGGCCTCCATCCAGCTCGGAAATGAGCCCCCCACCTCCCATTGGACACGGATTGTCTCCAGGCACAGCTGACTCCCAGCTGCTAGCTCTCAGCCCCTCCCCCACGGGTTGCCATAAAGGGGGCCAGCCAGGGATCCCCCTGGGAGACCTGGGAGTAGGCAGTGGGCCTAGGGTCTGCTGTGGCGTTGGGTCTAAAACAGTTCTGGGTCTACCTTTGAGGTGTCAGTTTGACCCCAGAATCATCTTCTTAATGTCTTTTCTAATTTCTTAATTGTAAATATTGATGGTAGAAAATTTGGAAACTATAGAGAAGTATAAGGAAAATGATGTCATATGAAATCTTACCACCCAGAAACACTGTCTATATTTTGTTGCTTTTATTCCAGTCTTTTAAAAAAAAACACCTATAGATTTATTTTTGCTCCATAAGTGGGATTATTCTATATCTAGTGCTTTGCATCTTATTTTTTTCTTATTATCTCCTGAAAATGTTCCTGTGTAATTAAAAGTTCTTTGAACATCTGATTTGGCCGGATGTGGTGGCTCATGCCTGTAATCCTAGCACTCTGGGAGGCTGAGGCAGGTGGATCACTTGAGGTCAGGAATTTGAGACCAGCCTGAGGAAGAGTATGACTCTATTTTATATTTAAAAAAGAAAAGAAAATCTGATTTCTATTGGGTGTGAGTTACCATAGGTCCACAGGCTCCATTCTCCCCCAGCCACAATTGCCTTCTCCCTCCCCACCCCACAGTTTTCAAGGTCTCCTAGTACATGATCT